GGAGACTTATTTGAGGTGTTTCGCTTCTGAAACACTGCGGATGTGGGTGAAGTGACTGCCTTGGGCGGAGTATTGGTACAATACATCGCATCATTCTGCCTATCAGATGATGCCCTTCAAGGTGCTGTATGGAAGGGACCCCCCACACCTAGTGCACTTTGGGAAAGGAAATACACAGGTCTCTTCAGTTGAGCAGTATCTGGAAGAAAGGGACAAGGTGTTAGAAGATTTGAAGAAACATCTGCTGAGGGCTCAACAACTCATGAAGAAGTAGGCAAATTCACACAGAAGAGACAGGTAGTTTGAAGTTGGGGAGAAAGTCTTCCTAAAACTACGACCTTACAGACAGAGGACAATGGAGAGGAGGAATGAGAAATTGGCACCAAGGTATTTCGGCCCCTATAAAGTGTTGGACAAGATTGGAGCTGTGGTGTATCGATTGAAGTTGCCCCCATCAGCTACTATACATCCAGTATTTCATGTATCACAGTTGAGGAGAGCTATTGGGGAGCATGCCGTTAGTACGGATTTACCTGTGACACTGACTAAGGATTTAGAAGTGAGAGCCTTTGGAGCTTACAGGCATAAGATCAGATAAAGATGGAAACAAAGAAGTGCTTATTAGGTGGAGAGGCCTTCCCGACTTCGATGCTACTTGGGAGCCAATGGAAAGAATGAAAGAGCAATTCCCTTCCTTTCACCTTGAGGACAAGGTGAGTTTTTGGGAGGAGAGTATTGTTATGCCGCCGGCCCAGGAGGGGCCGGTTGGACCGGTCTAGCCTGGACTGGTCTTCGTTTATTCCCGCAAGCCCAAGCTGGGTGGAGAACAGAGCGGGGGCGGCAGCCCTTGTGGGCCCAAACATTAATTGTATTAAACTTTAGGAGGAAAATTTTGAATTAAGGGGCTGTTTAGGGATTTTTAATTATTCCTTTTGCTTTAATTAGGGAGAAGGGTGTGAGGAGGGGGGCATCTTGAATTTGAATCTTATTTGAGATCTAGGGTTTGTTCTTGGGCTCTTGGCGTTGCCGGAGATTGTGGAGAGTATTTTCTTCCTCACGAATTGAAAGAAAATTGTATCTTGCAAGTGCTTTTCATCTACTAGTGGAATACAAGTGTTTGCTTCGATTTCCTACGAATTTCTCTTAAGTTTCTCTCAGATTTTCCACTGTTTGGGCTGTTTTCTCTTTGCGAACAGCAGTTTTCCTCTATGTCTGTACTAATTTTGGGTAGGTTTATTTGCGAATTCAAGTATTTCTTATCAGTGAGATGTGGTCTTAATTGCGTTCTAATAATGTCTTGTCCACACTAGTCAACCATCATTCATCCAACACCACTCTTTCTCTCAACGTACCATTTTTCACATGAATGTCCCTAGTACTGGCTGTCTTTGTTTGTTAATGTTTTTCATTTGTACGATAAAATCTTTTCCTGTCCCTTTCATGCATTTCTCAGGTGCCAAAGTAATATAGATTTTGTGATCCCTTTATCAAATATGTTTACTCTTTGGCTGACATGATATTTCATTAGAGTACTACCATCTTTCTTGATATATCTGCTGGATCCGGACCATTTCTTTCTCTTCTTCTTGTTGTCTCACTCCTTTATAAATGTACTTAAGGTGACGTTGACCATCACCTCTGATAACAACTCATATCTTCTCTTCTACTTTAACTGAGCTTCTATCACGACTTGATTTGGAGACTCGAATTAGCGAGGTGGAAACAGGCTGTCAAACGGTTAATACATTTCATTTAATAATATAAAACACTTAATAGACTAACATCCAATATTTAACTGAAGAGCCACTAAAATATATTTTCAATTTGAACATACATAAGCTAGTACGTATCTTTTTTCATTTGGTCTCCTTCTTATGTAGGCAAATTTTCTTTGTTAGCCATTTATTTCTCAGAGGATTTATATGAAATTTTAATTTAACATTTTGAATTTTCATAATAAACTCAGTGGATGTTTATAGCTTATAATATAATAGTTAATCATACATAAATACAACCATGTTTATTTGCCTTTCTTTTTTTGGTTAACATATACATAAAGATTTAATATAAATAAAAATTTCAATAATCTGCATTTTAATTTATTTATTCTTTTTGCTATTTCATTAATTTTTTCCCTTTTTCCTTTATTATAGGAGCATCGTCAACATTTTGTACTAATGAACGTACAATTATTTCCAATTTTCATTTACATTTTCATTTCCTTTTTCATTTAATGTGCACGGGTACGTTGCATCCCTGGCCAATACCATACGATGGTGAAGTCTTGTATTTTCATGTATGCACCTTTTTCCTTTTTATACCTTTCATTTTCTTTTTATTATTCATTTAGTTTATTTTATTTTCCATCACCTGTCATATTAATTTGTAAATAATTTATATATTATGAACTTTCAGTCTTTCTCAAATTTATTGCATATCAAACATTTAAATTTCACAAGTACTTGAGCATGATATAATGTTTAGTAATAACAATAGAATAAAGAAAATGAATTTGCTATTTTATTCCTCTTTTTGATTCATTTTGTACGTTAAAAATTTATTCAACATATATTGCCGCGACATAGATTAATTACAATAAAATGAAAGGAAATTGTAATTGATATAAAACAATTTTAATTACCCACTTTGATTACTTTTATACTTTCAATTTTTTTCCAGCTGCTTGAGCTTTACAATAACCTTCCTTAATACAGTACTTTAGTTCCATCAAAGATTTTTCAGACTTCCACTCTCCATGATACAATAAATATCACTAAATATAATATTGAACACTCCACTTTATAAATTCAAATTTCTATTCTTTGAAGATAATCAAACATTATATTTAAATAGTTTTCGTTGTTTACCTGAAAAGTTTCTTCTTTTTTTTACTAAGTCAAGATTTTCACCAACGAACTTTCTTTCTATTGAATAACGATATGCTACTATTTCGATCAGAATCAGAATTGAAATTTACGCATCTATTTCATTTCTAATTTTAAATAAGACAAAAAGGGAGATTAAAACAACTTACTTCCTCTTCCTCCTTAATTAGGTCTGGTTCAACTGAACCAGCAAACCCGGTTCTTACAGCATCTCCTCCAAAGATTGAGCCTCCAGATCTATATCTTCCTATTGAATTATGACGGCATAAAATGATAATGACTTCAAATCTTATAGATTCATATATGTCCTTTATCCATTTGCCCTCATCGTATAGTCATTTTGCTATGTTCTTGTTTGTTGTTTTTATTCCTTGGATATATCTAGAAGCACTGCCAAATCTTCTAAGATATTCAATATGGATGATTATGTGAATGCCGCTGATAGTCTACAATCTCCATATATGAGAATTGGTTACCCATGTTACGGGGTCAGACCAATTGTGTCTTTTCTTTATGGGAATTGGAATTCCCTTCATAGTTGATGTTATAAGCATGAATGCTGTTGCATGTAGGGGTGTCAAAACGGGTCGGGTTTGTGTCTAACCTGAACTTGACCTGCCTTCAGCTGACCCGACCCTGTTATAAAAACAGGTCGAAAATCCGAACTTGAAACCGACCTGATTCGGGTTCAGGTCAACCCAAAATGACCCATCAACCCGATTTTTCAAATTTTTGGCATTTTTGCTATTTCAAATTTATTTAAGTAATTCTATTAAAATGTAAAATACTGAAGTACATATAATTATTTGATTATTTGAGCAATTAGAAATGAAGACAAAATACATTTACAAAATACTAACACTAATTGTTAAAATACAAATTACATATTTACATTTATAAAAAATAATGCTAAACATAAATTACATTTACTAAATACTAATATACATTACAAGATTACATTTACATTATTATACAAACATTGAAACAGTGAAACACAAAGGGTTAATAAACCTTTCTTTTCTGATTTAAATTGAAAAGTTCAAAATTAAATGAGCTTGCGTTGAAATTGTTCTTTCATGCTTGGAATAACATTCTTCACATAACAAAAATATTATTGATGACAATATTATTAACTTTAGAACTGTTATGCGTCAAATAGATGATTTTACTCGTTGCTATTTCACGTAAATAGTGGTGTTATTTAGAATGATGATCATCCATCTGTGTACTTCTTTTATATTTGTATTAGCTTCAAATCTTATAATTAATTTGTTATATTATTTGGATATCATCAAATCAAGATCAAATATTGTTCAGTAGTTGGCATTTGATAAAAATATTTATTACACATATATTAGTGGAAGCAGACAGCCCCTTAGTAATTTTATACGGATTTAGAGAATTAATAACGTGGGTAAGAAAAAAATAATTACGAGCAATTATGCTTCTTTACTAAAATTAAATATTCACGTTTATCATTATATTACCTCTCATGGAGAGACATTATACAACAAATCTCTAATATAAGTATGTTTTACAATTCTTTAATGAGATTCCAGTCATGGTTAGGTTCTCAATTCAACCTGAATCCGACCCGATTTTTAAAATGGGTCAATTTTTTAAACCCAAACCCAATCCATTGGATAAACAGGTAGACCCGAACCGGACTTTATTGGGTCAGGTCCGGGTCGAGTTTCTGATCGGGTCAAATTTTGATACCCCTAGCTGCATGTTTTTTGTGCTCTTTTAATAAACTGAAACGATAGTGTGCCTGCAGTACTATGAAAACTGTACTAATCGTCATTTCAGATGAAATGAATGTAAGACTATATTTGAGCGTGGATGCATTGATAATGCCTCTATATAATTCCATCTTTTGCTCATGCGATATTACTAAGTCCTAATTAAAGTGCAACTTTTCGCCCTCTTTCAATATTGATATTATGGTTTTCAATCATTTTTTGTTTAGATGTGAATATTAATTGATCATCTTTGTCACTGTTTATGCATAGTACTCGTTCTATATCTCATTGAATTGTTTTCTTCGTGAACTAGTTTTTCTCCCACAAACATTGGTAATGTGGGCTCTATTAATGTTGTCTTGGGCCTTGGCAGGAGTTTGAAAACAAGAAGCTAAATCTTGAGCGAGTTCAGGTTGTTGATCAGAACCATAAGCTACTTGCTGAGAATCAGAAATTGTCTGAAGAGGCTTCTTATGCAAAGGAATTGGCATCAGCTGCTGCTGCTGAACTTAAAAATTTGACTGAGGAGATAACCAAGCTGTCCTTGCAAAACGCCAGACAGGCCAAAGAATTATCCGCTGTTCAGGAAGTTGCGTTTTCTATATCTGCTGGTGGTGGCATTCGTAAGCTTTCTGAAAACAGAAATGAAGGGGTTAAACTAGGGAGAAAGGGTCGACCTTCTAGTAGAGCTGGTGTTGCTAATACAATATATGATGATACTGGGAGCTGGAATCATGATTTGGATGATACGAAGATGAAGTTGCAGGCAATGAAACAAAGAGAAGCTGCTTTAGAAGCTGCCTTAGCTGAAAAGGAACTTTTAGAAGAAGAATATTACAGGAAATTTGATGAATCAAAGAAGAGAGAAGCTGCTTTAGAAAATGATTTAGCGGGCATGTGGGTTCTTGTTGCTAAGCTGAAGAAAGGAGTTTTAAGTGAATCAGAATTAAATGTCAATGGATTGTCTAACAATGGACTAGACCTAGCTGATGATCAGAAAGAAAACAAAACTGAGTGCGACTATGGTCTTTTGAAAGATATTCAGTTAGCAAATAAGCAAGTTAAACCTATGAATGACCAGTTTAACCATAATCCTGAGTTGGAACCTATGCTTTCACGGTTGAAGGTAATCATATAGATCTTTTCTTATATATATTTGAGAGCTATAGGAAGATATCTAGAACTATATTTATCAAATGAAAAAAATAATAATTTTTATGCGTGCTTCTATTTTTTTCTGCAAATTGGTTAGTCTCGACTTCATGAATTTGTCCTACCAGATGCCTGATGAAGCATTTGAAGTTTATTAGTTGAAAGTTGAAACTCTTGTATATGTTTGTCTTGCATAATTCAATTACTTTTTTTTTATTAAACCGATAAAACTTCTTAAAAAACATGAATCTACTTTGAATGAATGCAACTTTTTTTTGTATTTATCTGGCTTAGATATTGTAGCATATGTAAATAGATCTACAAGTATGCCTGCAAGGCAAGGTTTTGTTTTGTGTGATCTTGTATTATCCGAGGATTTGATCCGAGAAAAACTTTAATGCATCAGCAAGCAAGGAGTGTAGACAATCTTTTTAGTACTTTTCTCATTCCAAAAATACCTGGTGAGCATATCTGTGAAAAGGTTGGAGTAGCTCCAGTGGAAGATAAGATTAGAGAGTCGCCTTAGATGGTTCGGTCACATTAAACGGAGGCCTTCCAATGACCCGGTTCGGAAAGTTGTGGTATTAGATTTGACTTATGTTAAGAAAGGTAGAGGTTGACCTAAAAAGACTTGGTTAGAAAATATTAGAAATGATCTTTCTTTATTAGATTTAAATGAGAATTTGACTTTTAACCGGACCCAATGGCGAAAAAGGATTCATGTAGCCGACCCCACGTAGTGGGACAAAGACTTGATGTTGTTGTTGTATTTTTATGTTTACTTTTTGCACTTTTGGTCAATTATTCTACATACAGGCGCGTATACAAGAAATGAAGGAGAAAGAACTATACTCATTGGAAAATGATGATAAAAATTCTCATGTGTGTAAGGTATGCTTTGAATCGGCAACTGCTGCTGTGCTTCTCCCATGTCGGCATTTCTGTTGTAAGTAATCTTTTTTTTTTTTTTTCTTTCTTTTGTTTTAAGTTTTCAATACATTTTAGCATGGTTTTTGTTGTATCTGATTTACTAATCACTGGCATCCACTTCTCTACAGTATGTAAGCCCTGCTCGTTTGCTTGTTCTGAATGTCCCCTATGTCGAACAATGATTACGGATAGGATTATTACTTTTACATCTTAAGACCCGATACTTGGCTAAAGGTAATGATTTAGGCTTCGTTTGGGATGGCTTTCTTACTACTTCTTAAAGCAGCTTTTTAATATAAAAATTTAAAGCAGCAGTAAAAAAGCCGTTCCAAACAAAACCTTAGTTTGCATGATACAAGTTCGTTCAGAAACTTCATCAAGCATGTTTTGCAATCTAATGCATATATTGTTTTTCTTACAGGACCTTTTACTTTCTTTAGACCCATGCTATCTATCAATGACATCCTATTCTTTCTGTGCCTCTACTGGAAGGAATTTTGAAATCCTCCTACGCGTTAATAGTTGTAATTCCATATCATTCTTAAAATTTCTTTTAGTTTGTTCATGCTATGTTAGTTTCTTTCATGTAAAAATTTAAGCTGTGGCTTCCTGCATATATGTATACGAGTACAATACCCAAATTTTAGGGGCAATCATTTAAAGAGAAGTTAATGTAACTTCTTGCTCCCCTATTATGTTCTCTCCATCATTTTTATTTTATTTAACTTTTATTTCTGTTTCTTTATTTTCCATTTTTTTTAAATTTTCCCTGATATCACAACTGAGAAAATAGTATATGATTTCTACAATAGTTTTATAAGTTACTTTCTCTATTAACAACTTTGGAAAATAAAAAAAAAAAATATTTTGGGTTTTGCATGTGTAGGCTTGTAATGTTGCATAGAAATGTATTGTTATTGTCTTTTAATTGTGGGTTAAGTCAAATGTTTAACTAATTTGATATTAAGCTGGATCATTTTATGGCATATCATCATCAATTTGTTTAGTTATTTATTGAGAAGTTTGTTGTTTTGCATCGTTTATGCCCAATTTCGTTTAGGAGTTGAACCAAAAAAGTCCACATTTTTTGGCTCACTTAGGTCTTATTAAACAGTCTAGGACTTGTAATTATCATATATATCAAGAATAAATGAATAGTTTGAATTACATGTCCTCTGACCACCATCACTTCATTATGGTCATCGGAACATTGTCACTCGATTATTGTCCTTGAAGTATCATTGTCCGATTATAGTCCTTCGATCATCTTTGCCTTTCTATGGCCCTTTGATTACCATCACTCGATTACAATCGTCCAATCATCATAGCATGACTATCCCTGTCACTGAATATAGTTTGTGGAACACCTTTTGATTATGGTGGTTTGATCACTGTCATCCCACTAAAGTTCTGGAACCCCTACTATTCATTTACAATCTTCTTATCATAGTTGCCTTTGTATAGTGTTCTATCCTTCGTCATCCACCAAATACG